CTGACCACCACCCCAAACTCCCCTGCCCTCTATCCAACCACCCCTGCTCCCTTCACCCTTACCGCGCTGCCTGGAGCACCAGTGGCTGGCGGGGCTACAGCTGTGCCGCCTGGCTGGAGCCAGCCATGCCACCACGTAGCACAGAGCACCGGATCACACCGGGCTCTGCAGCTGCGCTGCCCCAGGAGCTCGCAGCCCCACCATCCAGAGCATTGCACCAGCAGTGCAGTGAGCTGAGGCTGTGGGGGAGGGGAACAGCAGGGCAGGGGCCAGGGGACAAACCGCCCAGGCCAGGAGCTCAGGAGCTAGGCAGGAGGTCCTGCGGGCCTGATGTGGCCCGTGGGCCGTAGTTTGCCCACCTCTGATCTATATTTATAAGCCAGTCAATCATTCCAAGAGGGAATATTGGTACCTTTCCATTACCTAGGAAGAGACTTTTTTGCCAAAGAAAAGCTGATAAGATTAACTGCTCTATTAGCTTTTCATCCCACTGTAGGTCATTCAGAACAAACTGAGGATCGTATGTAAATTCTGACCTCAGTATTTCCTGCAACATTTCAAGTACTTGTTATTATAGTGGTTTTAGTTCTATGCGGCATAAAACATGCATACCTGCATGATTCCTATTCTGTCTTGTAATGCCAACGACTATTGGAGGAAGTCAAGTTAGATTTATGATTGAGTCCCACAAAGGGAATGAACTATTTTACATTACGTCAAGCAGCAACTAGCTTCACAGGCAACAACAGATTTTTCTACTGCTTAGTTTATTAGTCCTGAATTATCCAAGACTTATCTAACATGTGCATGTGATAGTCTGAAGATGTTAACCATAAATTGGTGGTTTTAGGAACACTATAAGCTGATATAAAACAGTGAGCTGCAGATCAAATTCCCCACCTAAATTATTTATTTTTTTTAGCTTTAAAGAAAGCTTTTGTTTCCAGCCCAGAGATCCAAAAGATGGCTCAAGAGGATTTTATTATGCTTAATCTGGTGGTAAGATCATAATTTAAAAGTCATAATTATCAAAATATATGATGGGAAGCAGAATAAAGAGTCTTAATAGCAAATCAGAAATTGACTTCTTTGCGTTTTTTTATTAATTATTTTATTTTCATTCAAATATCTGGTTTCCAAGTTGCTGGAAACCCACGACAGGGTTTGCTAAAAATTCCTTTTTTAGGAGGAGGAAGAGACACAGACATTACTACTCTCAAATCCAGATATATTTATGTAATCCAGTCTCAAATAGTTTTCTTAGGACCTCTATCGTCAGGCCACGGTCAGTAATAGGATACTGAATTGAGTGGGACCTTGTTCTGATCCAACACGGCAAGCCCTACATAACTAACTATTGGTGCTGTGTTAGATGCAGGGGGAGGTGGGAGACTCCATAGAACCACCCCACAAATTGTACTTGAAGCGAAATAAAGAAGACTGATTAGTTTATTCCATTTCTAGTGCTTTGACTGATGTGACAGCTGTTCTGATAATGACCTATCACAAAAAAGTTATTTAACTTTCTTTCAGCATTCGAGCACAGATGACAACATGGCCCCTGATGGCCACTATGTCCCTAGGATCCTCTTTGTTGGTGAGCTTCCCAATTCTCTGTGATAATCAAAACGGAACAATTGCCTTGTGTGATGTGTAGCACAGATTCCTTGCTTGGGCACCAGGGTTTGTTTTTTCAAGCTGCAGGACATTATGACCAAGCTTTGCAAAAGTGGCTAGTGATTTTTCTTGCCTAACCTGAGACATTTTAAAGAGATTTGCTTTTTCAGAGGATGGCTGCTCAGCATTATATGAAAATTGGGCTCCTTTAAGGTGTAAAGTCGGGCCACCAAAAAGTCAGTAGTCACCTTATTTAAATGTCATCATGGGCCAAATCCTCAGTTGGTATAAATCAGTGTAGCACCACTGACATCAACATACCAACTTATATTGATTAAGGAGCTGGTCCTATATATATATATATACATGCAGGGCCAGCTCTAGGTTTTGTTGTTGCCCCCAAGCAAAACATTTTTTGGCTGCCCCCCTCCCACGCCCCCCGCCAGCCTGGGCTCTCTCTCTCCCCACACACCAACT